AGAAATCTATAGACGACACGCTAGCTGAGTGGATGGACGATATGCTGAAAGAAGACGAAGGGAAGATCCTCGAGGCAAAAGTTGAGGATGTCAAAGGTTCAAGAGACTGGAGGAAACACCTGGATTTTAGAGTGCTATCGAATGAACAGGTCCGTGTTGCAGGGCTACAAGATTATCTAGCGAAAGCTTGGATTCTTAAAGACAACAAAGAAATTTCAGAGTTTGAGATGGATTCTTATCTTGTAAGATGCAAATCTAGAGAGGCTAGGGAATCAATATTCCTTGGTGGACCTTGGAATTTCAATGATGATACTATCATTATTGAGATATGTTTCGATACGCCAGATACTCGGGTATGGGTGTATCGGGCGAATCGATTCTTATTTTTATTATTTTTTGAATTTTTTTTGGCAACTGGTTCAATGGGCTGGTTTAGGATTCTTCCACCCCCTTAACTGGTCAGACCCCTGATACACCCACTATAGGGGCATATTGGAGGGGTCCAGGAACGATACGTATCCGCCGATACGTGTCGAAACTTTAAACCTTGGTTCTATCAAGGTTCAAGTATCAACATGTATCGGCCCATATCAACTGATACGTATCGAGTCGATGACTTCCTGTTCTCGATATGCTCTTATAAGAATTGTATCGGGTCAGACCATGGTTCGGAGGGTAGTCGGGACTTAAATAACCCTTCTGATTTGGTTTTGAAAAAAAAAAAATAAATAAAACATAAAAAAAAGCACCAATATAAATCATGAACCTTGGGTTCTATTGACTGTTGGATTCGACATGGAACTTGCAGCTGAAGTGGGGAAATCTTATGAGCCAAAACTGGAGGAGGCTGAGCTTTGGAGTAAATATATTCGAATCAGAATCCAGATGGATATTTACAATGCATTGGTTAAACAAAAGCGTTGGTTAAACAAACTCCTAAATGGGGAGATAATCGATTTCTTACAGATATTAGAGGCTGCCCAGATTCTGTTTTTTCTGTGGCAGAATTGGTCATCTGATCGAGGCTTGCTCTTTCAAGGCCGATCTGGAGGAGTGTATTGGCAATGAAACCGACGAGGACAAGAAGCAAGCTCTGTCAAGGTACAATATGGCAAAGTTCAAATCAGCCCCCCCGCCCCCACAACGTCCTACAGCACATCTCCACTCTGTATTGGAAACATCTCTCGGTGATGACATCATCATTTCTATTATTATCATTGGAAGATGTTCCCAATATAAAACGGGAATGTGCTGTGGGACGTTATTGGGGGTTGATTTGATCTCTAATATGGCCCGCTACTTGGATGATCTCCAATCCAAAGCAAGCCAATCACACAATCAGAAAAAGAAAAGTTCAAAGAAAATTGACAATCCAAAGTCACCAAGGAGAGAGGAGTTTCGACAGTCAGGAAGGAACTTACGTTGGAAAACTCAGCATTCGGTTTTCGGCATGTGTTCTGATGACAGTAGTGGTGGGACTGACAAAGAAAGTGTTTGGGAGGAATGGAGAACATCAGGGGAAGGCGAAAAGGTGGGGACCAAATCGAGGGGGAATTGGCTGGACTCCCAACTGATAGCAAGGTCCTAGAAAGCAACGGATAGAAAATTTATAATGACTGCAACTTAACCCATGGAGTCTCAAAGAATCATTCAACCTAAAAGCTTAACATGTTAAATGAGGTCCTTAGGTTTTTTATTCTCTTCTCTAACATGACCCCTCACATGAAAGTCCATTGGGCTTGAAGCGTGGACAGTACAGACCCATCCATACATTGTGCTGAAACTTAATTAATTATAATAGGAGTGATGAGTATCGAACACYAGATCCAATTGGTCAAAGTGGCTTTGATACCATCTCAAAGAATCATTGAACCTAAAAACTTAAACTGTTAAGTGAGGTCTTTGAATAGGTTTTTTTATTCTCTAATATGGCGCAATATGGATATTGATTCAACAATATTGGGTGACATGGATAAAGTTGTTGAGCTGGAGGAAAGGGTAACGACAGGAAGAGGAAAACTCCTATAGGCCCAAATGGGCCTGGGTTGGTTACCACTACAGATGAGGATGAACCCCCATGGGCAGCTGTTTGTGGCAACTTTAAGAAAAGAGCAAAGATACAGAAATCACTGGGCGACTTTCACCAAACTTGAGAGTCTTAGCGTGGAACTGTCAAGGTGGCGGGAGTTCCTCGGCAGTTCGACATCTTCAAAAGCTCCCGGCTGATAATAACGGATTTGGAATCCGAAGCTTGTGCCTTGTTGGAAGGTGTTCGACATCTTCCTTGGCGTCTTCAACTTACGATCGCCGATTGCAGAGCTCTTCTTTATAGATTCCCTCTCGATTCAGTGAGTTTTCTTCCTAGGAGCGCTAATCGGGTAAGTCATATATCTTGGCTAATTTTGGTTTTACATGCTCTTAGGATTAACACCTATCGGTGTGTCCTAGTTTTCTCTTTGTTTGTATTGATGCCGATTGCTCTCTGAGCTCCAGTTTACGAATTAGAGCTCATAACAGGCTAAATTTGAGCCTTAATGATCCTGACATAAGAAAGTACCCTGTAGTCTGTACAATTATATGATGGGAGCCTGAGCTTGGCTTAATGGGACTGAGATCAATTAATATTAATTGTTGAGCTCAAATCAAACTCAGTAAAACCTGGTTAATCAACCTCATCCATGCTTCTTTACGTCCAAAACCGAAAACTTGACTCGAATAAAGGTGGAGGCCTGTATTATCGGAGTTGGAATCCCCTACACAAAATTGGGCCAATCACATTTATCCCACATGTCAGGAGGACGTAGTATATCATGATTGGCACAGTAAACAAAACGCAGTATCAAATTAGGAAATATGTGTATAACAGGTATTGACTAAGATCTTCCTACAGCATAAATAGCCAAAAAATGTAAATTAGTTAAGTAAATTGCATTTAATTTTTGGGTAAATTGTTGAAATCTCTCTTAAAGTTTTCTGGTTGTTGCTGAAACCTCTTTTGATATTTGGTAATTGTAATTACTTTCTTTGAACTTTCTAACATAGTTGCAAGTAGACTTCTTTTGTTAAAATCTTCAAAATATCCACGCAATTACTTTTGATCAAAATATTCATTTTTCTATATTTTCTCTTCATATGAATCGTTAGCCCAAACCCTTCCAATCTCTCTTTCTGAAATTGATTTATTTTCCAAATTTCCCCTTCATATCAATCATTCAAATGTAAAGATACAACTTCAAATTCTCTACTTTTTGTTGTTTATAAAGTTTTATTGTTTTTTATATAGCTAAATAATAATTGTATGGATATTTTGGACATTTTGTGCCTCTTTTTAGAAGATTCTAACACGGGGGCCTATTTGCAACTGTCAGAAAGTTCAGGAGGTTTGATTGCAATTACCAAACTTCAGGAAATGTTTTGGCAATGGTTAAAAACTTCAGGGGGGTTTCAGAAATTTACCCTTAGATTTTTTTTTTCCCAAAACTTTTGCTTAGGAGGGCGGTTGAATTGCAACTCGTCAAACAAAGGATTATTGTAGAAAAACTTTTGCATTAATTATAGTTTTCTTTCTTTTGGAAATTGAAATTCATAGAAGGTACACTAGTTCTGGTGTGGTGATGGAGAGAGAAACCAAAATTGGTTTTGGGCCTAACGACTAAAGAGGATGGCCTCTGCATGCATGCTATCCAGAATCCAGTCCACTTGGACAATTTTCAGAAATAAGAATTGGCCGTTAGGCTGTGTTTGGAAATGATGTAAATAAGTTTGAATGCAAATATGTAGAGTGTAAAATGGTTCACATAAATTGCAAAATTGGATTAGTTTTACACTGTCAAATTTACCTTCTTACCAAACAGACTTTTAGCTGTAAGGGATGCAAATATGAATTTCAATAAAACATATGCTTTTCTTTTTTTATCAAAAACCCACTTGAATGTAAATTTACTTCTTTTTTATTGATGTACTTTTACATCTTATTATTAATGTAAATATGCATTGGTCTGTCATTGCTCTAACCCCACTGGATTTACACTCGATTTGCATTGTTTCCAAATGCAGCTTTAATTGTTTAATTGTTTGGATAGGATTAAGAGTTAGGACCATCCACCATCAGCCCTGATCAATGCCGTAAGTCAAAGCTGTGTTGGTTTGTCAGAAATGTTGAATTGAAGAATGAGGAAGAGCTGTTTGGGTTTGTGGGTAATTAAGGCCTCGTGCTTGTTCTTGTATTTTGGGGATGATACAGCTAGCGATGGTTATTATATCCTTTATTCAACTAATTAAGGATCTATGCGTATATCAAATGTATGCAAGCTGATCAGCTGATGAACTGATCTATCTGTATAAAGGGGACAAGGCAAGCCAAGTTGTGACTTGGGACTTGTGCGGGGGTTATTTTATTACCTAAATTCAAAGGAAAGATTAAGGATGCAAGATGTCCGGTCCAAGCCCAAGCCCAACCCAGCCCATTGAATAAATCGCCAGTCCCATATTCCCGGTTAGAGGCTTAGGGGTTAGAGCATTGCTATTTCGCTCATGGCGCGCGGGAGTTGTGCACGAGTAAGGGCCCTGACGCGGATTCCAATTGAGTCTGGATCTTCTATCAATAAAAAAACATTTAAACCTCCTATCAACATGATCTGCATATCAAATTCATGATGAATCCCACTTTTATGGTGGGTCTCAGTCTTATGGTAAAATGTTGGTAGGGGGTTGGAACGTTTTTGTTGGTAGGAGATCCCAATTCATTCCAATTAGGCAAGATGATGCTACACTAGTCAAGCAAGATCAAGGGCAACTCCAAAACTCTATCTCCATGTGTGAAGTGTGGAAAATGGAAATTTCAACAGCTACCGAACCTTCTTATTGTCGGCTCAGGCTCATAGATTCCTGAGAGCAGATCTCTCGCATGTAAGAAGCCAATAATAATACATACGTGTCACCTTGTCATCTAGCGTTGAATCGCCAGACTTTTTAATTCTCAGCTGACAAAACAAAAGAAATTAAATTAAATTCCAAGGAATCTTCAACCTTTTATTCCTCACCTTCTCTTTCTCTTTGCTTTGTCCCATTTGTCTTTTTTTGACCTTGACTTTATTTACATAACAATAAAACATACCTCGGCAGCTCGGCTCCTTGGCATCAACCATCAAGCAGAGTAGAAGACACAGAGACACCGGGAGGCCACCAATTGGACTTAATTAGCTGAAGGTTCAGTCTTTATTTCACCGTCGTTCCCATCAGGATGATACCATCACGCACTCTTAAACCACCCTGATTCCTATAGAACGACGATAACGACGAAGAAGAAGAAGAAGCCGAAGATTGATTTATTGATTGATTAATTGATTCGCATAGTAAGCACCTTCTCATCAATTTCCACCCTGTCCGTAATTCTCACCGATTTTAATTACAGCCTGATGATCGTCTATGTACACATATTCTTAATCTTAAGAAGAAAAAAAAAAAAAAACGAAAGAAAAATGAATAACAGATCGACGAGACGACCTTATAGTTATACGACTCTCACACTGTCTCACAGACGCCTTCGGTCATACCAAAATGACCAATAACCAACAACCAAAACTTACAATTGAATGGTTACACCTCTTGCACCTTTGACATGGTTGGAGAGTTCTGGTTCATCAGAAATGGGATGCGAGGATCCATGCCACCCGTGTCTGTTGGCATCATACTTCTCTCCATCACCCCAAAGTGCGTATGCTTCTTCTCCGTGCACCGCATCGTCTCCTATCACCAGCTGCTCATCCGCCATTCTTAGGGGCACGAAGAACCTTATCCCTAGAAGAATAAGCGTCGTCGACACTATGTTCCACCCGATCACGAACATCGCCGCAACCAATTGCTTCACCAACTGCACCCCTCCTCCTCCACCGTAAAATGCACCCCTCGAGTTGGATACTGGTAAGACCAGCCTGCACAGAACCGGCTCCGCCAATAGCCCTGTCAGGACTCCTCCCAACAGCCCCGCCACCGCGTGCGTGTGGAATACCCCTAGCGTGTCATCCACCTTCATTATTTACAGAACCACCACACCCACCATTACATGTGCACAACTGAAGAAATTTAAAGCCAAAGGAGGTCCATAGTGGGCTCTCTCCCATGAAGAATAAGAAAATCGGAGACCCGGCCATTATTGCGTACCTTCTGTAGGAACGAGGACTTCTTGTGGAGGATCATCATGGTGAACCATGGAACGCTGCCGGACATTATCCCCATCACTATCGCCGCCCACGATTGCACCACCCCTGCACCGACCAATGACGCTCACGGTCAATTCCCATATTTACGATCGTTCCACCGGATTATATATATATATATATCCACCACAACAAAAAACGCAAGCCCTACCCTACGGACAGTCGACACAATACATGATTAATCTAATCGAAGGTTAGGCAAGTTCATTACCTGCTCCCGGAGTGATGCAAACAAGACCGGTCATCATGCCTTGAACGGCTCCGATCACCGAGGGTCTTCCAAAGAAGACAACGTCAAGAGATGTCCATACGAGAAGACTTGTGGCCGCGCATATGTTGGTATTCAGCACAGCAACAGAGGCGGCGATGTTAGCGGCATAAGGGGCACCGCCGTTGAAACCTGACCAACCCATCCACAGTAGCCCAGCCCCGGCGAGCATTAGTAAGACGTTGTTTGGCGAGAACCTCTCTCTATCACTCCTAAGCCTTGGTCCTACCTGCTCACACAAATAGGAATACCTTCTTAGCTCTTAGTTATTACTTATACCTCGTTGCTCGTACAAGGATCAAATGCAAACGGCCCACATGTTGGCGTTGCCGACTCCAAAAAGTTTCAAGACAAAACTTACTGAAACTATGTAATTTGAAAGATAGAAAAACATTGATGAAAAAGGAAAAGAAACCGAAAAAGAACAACTTGGAACAAGAGCCTAATGAGATTCAGTGTTCACGAAGATCTACCCAGTAGGCTGCGGTGAACCCGGCAATTCCCGAAGAGAGGTGGATGACATAACCGCCGGAGTAATCGATGACACCCCAATGGTAGAGAAATCCGCCACCCCAGAGACTAAAAGCACCGACGGTGTAGGAAAAGATAAGCCATAGGGGGACAAAAGCCATCCAGGCCTTAATATTCATGCGACCCAAGACGGACCCAGCTAGTAGGATAAGGGTGATAGCGGCGAATTGGAACTGGAAGTAGACGAGGGAGGCCATGGGGTAGAAGGGCTCGGTCATTGGCGTCTCCTCCGTGCCGTTCTTGTACCTGTGGGTGCTCTCAGGCACAGCAGCTCGGTCGATTAAGAACTTCTGTCCGAGGGAAGGAGCACCCTTGCCCCAGAAAGGGAAGAGCTTATCACCGAAAGCCATACGATAGCCTACTAGTACCCAACATATGAGGGCGGCGGCGTAGGCATAAAGCGCCATGAAGGCCGAATTTACGGCCCATTTCTTCTTAACGATGCTACCATAGAGGATGACGAGGCCCGGCATGCTCTGGAGGCCTACTAGAGTCGCAGCTGTCATCTGCCATGCGTTGTCCCCCTTGTTCAGCCATTCTGGAACCGCCGGCAAGCTCTGTTCGTAAGGACCGGGAATCACCATGGCTGGATCTCAGTCTTCAGTGATATCAGCCCCACCTTTTTATTCGATTCCGTTGAATTTGGTTAGGTAAATTGAAACATAAACAATTCAAGTACCAAGAAAATTCTCCTCTCCAAAGAGGTATGTACGGAGGGAGATGGGAAGGTTCGTTCGAAAACGAAAACGAACAATGAGAGCGTGAGAAAGATCGGTCGCTTTAGTCAGAGAAAGGGAAGAAATGGATGAGGAGGATAGGCCCCCCCAACGAGCGAGGTCAAGTTTGGCAGGCGTATCGCGAATGATCAGAAGAAAGCTATCGTGGATCTCCCTTTCTCATTTTTGAAATCTTCCAAGTGCCAACTACTTTGTATATTTTACATCTTATTCAGCACCCAGCAGCAGAAGAAATTAAATTAAAGAAAAAAAATTGCGGAATGCACCAGTTTTCTTGAGTAGACCCAGCTTGCTTGGGACTGACAACGCAGCTCGTCTCACGAGGACTGGGGAGGCGCAATAATGCAAATGCAGAGGAGGAGGGAACCAGCGACAGCGAGCGCCAGGGTTGGGCGGGCGGGCCTTGGTGGTTCAACCGCATCCGCACAAACCAAAGACGACTAGTTTACTTTGATAATTGATGTATGTTTTCGTAGAAATTACGTTAGAAACCAGAAGCCCAGAAAAAGTATTAGTTACTAATTAATAATAACAAATTAATGACAAGCATACTTCCAGTTCCAGAAGCAGCTCCAGTGGGGGACCAACCAGGAAAGCTCAGATGCCGGCTAACCGTTGGATTGAATCTAGAGTTAATGAGATTCACGCCAATTTTTTAACAAACAAAAATTGAATCTCTGGTTAAGATTCCGACTACTACACGGGCACGGGTGTTGACCTAGGGACTACCGCCTTTTGCCTCTGTTCTTTAACACAATCTATTGCTCAGCGACCAATCAAATTGGTGACTGCGTGGAAAAATGGTAGCCAAACAACATAAATAATAAGCTACCATAAATATATTAGTAAATAGTAATGTTACCAGGTTTGGCACGTTCCATGCATATGAGTGGTGCGATTTGAGCTTGGTTCTTCACTTCTTCTATTCTATTGCGGCATAGAGATGGGCGCGATACTCAWAAAATGATCCATGCTATCACATCTACCCATCATCCATTTAATCTAATCTAGTTGGGATTTTGTATTGTATTAATTCTTATACATTTACCAACAAAATATTCCACCAATTCATATAATATCGTTCCGACAATATAACCAACCATCTTTACTCTTTACCCAGAAAAGGCCTGAGCTGAAGAAGGGCAGGGCCGATCATATGATGGGCTCAATAGTCAATTCAATGGCCTCTAAATTAACAGTTCTCACTTGTCAAGTGTTTGTCGTCTGTCCCTACAAACCAGAAAGAGAGAGAGAGATTATAACTTACAAGTTGTATATTGTAGGACTCTTTTTTAATCCTTTCTAGGAATTTCAAGCAGCGTTCCTTCCAATTCCAGGAAAGTTGTTGCTCCTGAAAGTCATGGTTTTTGCGTCACAAAGGGGGACAGCCCCTAAGCCCCCAGCCATGCATTCTGTCCTGTTGCTTAATTCAGTCTTGTGGACAAGATGGCCACCAACCCACCTCTTGTTTTTCTTAAGCCTCTTAAGCCTTCAACAAAAAACCAACCGAGAGGTGGCTCGTTGGTGTATTAGCTGGTTAATTTGTTCCAACTTCCAACAGTGATGCAAAATCGAATCCTGCAATCACCATTTTGGGGAGAAAAGAGGTTAAGGGGAAGTTTAGTGGTGCATAAGACTGAGTACCAAAAAAACACTTCAATAAAATAAGCATTAATTCTATCACCATACATATACATACCTAAAATAAGCATTAATTCTTGAATCAAGATTATTTAAGGTCAACCTCTTAAGAGAAGAATAAATTTGGGGACTTGTCATCCGAAGGCCTACCTGGACCATTAATCAATTAATCTTCCCCTCATCTATTTCCCTGAGGTCGTTCACAATAGGATTGGATGATAAATATAACCAGGAAATTTCATAACCATACTTTCATATATACATTGCATGATCTTTCTGATCATTCCAAGTATTAGTCAAGCAAATCCTTAATATTTACTACACCCCATGAACAACCTCAACAGATTCAACCACTCTTTACCATCAACAGATTAATAGATAATTCCCCTAATTAATTGTTGTAAATGAAATAAATGTGCAAGTTCAACCAAAAGGACCACCTAAAAACATTCTATATATATTTGACTGTCAGTATTAATTGGTCAGGTATTCAACACATTGAACCATTTTTATCGGTCAAATTAACCAAAACTAAAGCATATCTGATGATTTAATTGATACCCACCTTGATGCCAACACCACCAGTACAGAAGATAAGGAAAGACTAATTGGAGGAGCTGGCTGGTGTGTCCCTCCCTATTGATCATTTGTTCATTTAGGGAAATATAATTTATCTTTTACCATGAGAAATAAAAAAATACCCAAATTTAAATTTCTTTATGTTTTTTAAACCTACAATTCCCGGCAAGTTACTCGGGTCCCAAACCGCAGTACACGTCATGTGTCCCCTATACCCCAAGCCTTTTACCACCCACCTCATCTATTCTAGCTACTTTTTATTTATTTATTTACATGATATATGATCGTTTTTATTTATAATATTTTTTGGTTGCCCATAGGAAAGTGAATCACTGAATCGCACCCATTAGCTGCAGAGAAGCCCAGTACCCCACCAAGGTATGAGCATTGAAAATCGTACATCCTGTTCTAGAGAAGTTGGAGATTGAGAGATTCTATACATGGATCCACGACCTCGTTTCATAATTCAGTATATGTTTGGTACAGCATTTGATGAGTATTAATAAATTAATTAAAGATATTTTAGATATGGGAGCAGATTTAATTAATTACATATATCAGATAGTTGAATCTTTAAAAGACTTTAAACGACCCATAAACAATCTCAATTAGTACCTGGCCACACAGTTTTAGCCCCAAAAAACCCCAAATTTGTATCCTAGATTTTAAAATTTTCCTTGTATCTACACTGCATGAGAGGTTCAGTGGTAAGGAAGCTGTGTATGTGCAAAGTTTCCTTTTATTTATTCAATTTTTTGGTTAAATAAACTAAAAGATATAAAATATTGCGGTCAATGTTATAGACAAAAAACAACAATACAATATAGAGCATAGGGCTCATGCGAGAGAACCTTCTCTTATACATAACATTTTATATATCAAAAATTAAGCTATGGACGACTATGATTTATTGGGAAAACTGAGTTGTTTTTTGATAACTAAAAAGCTTTATTACGTAGTAAAAATGTACAAAGTGTGTTACAGACCGTAACCATTTAGGTTGATGATGTAAACCAAAAGAAAAATCAAGATCAACAGGTTTTGGCATACTGTGCCAAACAGTGTGCAAAAGTATTTGCTTTCCTATTTACATACACAAAAAGAAGAGATTGACATTTCTTCTTCAAACACTGGATTTCAAAAAAGAGGTCATTTGTATGCCATGGAATCAAACATTTCTCTCGAGCTTCAAACTATTAGGATACATTTGGAAGCGATGTAAATTAAGATCGATGTAAATATTTAAACCGGTTCAGTTTTATTGGTGTTTGGAAGGAGTGTAAATCAAGATTGACATAAAATTTTGCTCCAATTTAGATGTCGGCACTTGGATGGAGTGTAGTTTTACATCACAAATCATGGTTTTCAAAATTGGATTGGACCGGACGGTCAGACCGGAAAAACCGGGAACCAGTCACCTGACCGATTCCGTTTTTCCCCAAAACCATTGATTTTGGTCAGCAAACCGCTGAATCGGTCAGTTAACCTTTCGAACCATCCGAACGGTTTTGGCTGTTTTTCAAATTTTTTTATTTTATTTTATTTATTTTTTGTCAAAATGGGCCAAAACCCAGTAACCGGACCCCTAACCGGTTCAGTCACTGGGTTGGTTTTAAAAACCATGTCACAAATCAATGTAAAACCTCATCACATGTAACGTTTTACATCGATTATCGATGCAAATACTACATCAATAAGACCTAGAGAAAAAAAATGAACTACCAGCCAAACCGATATAGGAACCAAGCTTGTCAATACAAATAATGGAAAATCACACTTTAGTACCCTGAACTTTGGGGGTAGTGTCAAATTAGTACCCGAACATTCAAATGTGTCACTGCAGTACCTAAACTTTCAAAAAGTGTCAAGTTGGTCCCTATCGTTAATCGACCATCAATTATCTATTGGAAATGTCAAAACTACCCTTCAAAAGAACACACTATTCATTGTCTCCTACCTTGAGATTAAACAAGTTGAGGTGCTTAAGATTCTAGACAATGAACACACTATTCATTGTTTTCTACCTTTAGATCTGAAACACATTCTTGTCCGATTATTTCTTTGCTTTCAGTTATTGTTTTCCTCTATCATATTTCATGTTTTTTTTTTTCTCTCTTTTCTTTGAAGATAACATGTTCAGTCTCAAGGTAGAAGACAATGAACAATGTCTTCTTTCGAAGGGTAGTTTTGATATTTTCAATAGATAACTGACGATCGGTTAACGGAAACAAATTGACACTTTTTGAAAGTTTAGGTACTGCAGTGACACATTTGAAAGTTCGGGTACTAACTTGGCATTACCCCCAAAGTTTAGGGTACTAAAGAGGAATTTTCCCTACAAATAAAACCAAAAGTACTAGGAGCTGGGCTTCAGTTAGTGCAAGGCCCATTAAAACAGCTTTTATGGCCTTGCATTGGGAATATCTCCCCATGAAATAAGGTACATATATAGGTACGGAGATCATCCCAGTGCAAGGCTGAAAAGGTTGTTCCAACACTAACGGGCCTTGCATTGAGTGAAGTCGATCTCAAGTACTAGAAGATTGAGAGGCTAAACCACCATCACAAAATAGGATGAAGTCAATACCTAGAGGAATAGAAACATGACAAACATTAGATACATTATCAATCCTATCATGAGAAATTGTTGGAGAAGAAAACAACATATCAAAAGAAGAATATTAATCTAGGATAGGTGACCTCCTAGGAAGTCCTCGTGTTGCACCCGAACTTAAAAATTTCCATAAAAAAAAGAAGAATATTAAGAATCCAGATTTACTCCTCATAGCCTGGCGCCTCAAAACATCCTTACAAAACGTGAGAATGCCATGTGTCCCCAAGCCCATGTGAACTCTATACACGAGCGGAGGAGCCTAACAGTCGTTACTCGTCAGGCCTCCATTTTCTTTAAACCCCTCCCCCCACCCCCAAGCCTTATTCGACACTTTCTAATTT